AGTAACGAGTTGTACAATGTGTACAGCTCGGTTGGTTCTGCCAAAGAGCTTTGGGCTGCTTTGGAGAAGAAGTACAAGACTGAGGATGCCGGGGCGAAGAAATTCGTCGTCGGCAAGTTTCTTGACTTCAAGATGGTCGACTCTAAGACCGTCATGTCCCAAGTGCAAGAATTTCAACTTATCTTGCACGATATCCATGCTGAAGGAATGTCTCTGAGCGAGTCATTCCAAGTTGCGGCCGTGATTGAAAAGTTGCCGCCGGGTTGGAAAGACTTCAAGAACTACCTCAAACATAAGAGGAAGGAGATGAGTCTTGAAGACTTGATTGTTCGTCTTCGTATTGAGGAGGACAATCGTAATTCATCGGGAAAAATTCCGATGATGGAGGCTCGTGCTAACTTGATAGAGCAAGGCAACTCGAGCAAAAGGAAGTCCCTAGACAAAGGGAAGCAGCCTGCCAAGGTTTGGAAGTTTACCGGAACTTGTTATAATTGTGGAAAGCCGAACCATATGGCTAAAGACTGCAAGAGGCCAAAGAAGGCTGGGCCAAAGAAAGGTAAACCGAGTGCTCTTGTGGCTGAACACGGCCCTGTGCCGGGTGAACTGACCGACTTTGATATGTCGGCTGTGGTGTTTGAAGCCAATATGGTGGATAACCCAAGGGAGTGGTACATCGATACTGGTGCCACTCGTCATGTGTGTTCCGATAAGGAGGTGTTCTCTGAATACACTCCTGCTAAGAGTCGGAAACTTTACATGGCAAACTCCGCCACGGCTGATGTGGCTGGAGTGGGCACTGTGGTGCTGAAGCTGACTTCTGGAAAGGAGTTGAAGCTTAAGGATGTTCTGCATGTCCCAGACATCCGCAAGAATTTGGTCTCCGGATCTCTTCTTGTTGAGCATGGATTTAGGCTAGTATTTGATGCTAAGAAATTTGTTCTTAGTAAGTTTGGAACTTTCCTTGGTCGTGGCTATCTCGACAAGGGTATGTTTAAAATGAATGTAATGGCCGTGAGCCGTGTAACCGTTTTAAATGATAATGAAAAGCCTATTTCTGTTTATACCGTTGAGTGCTCTGATTTATGGCATATTAGATTGGGACATGTAAATCGAAATGCAATTAAACGGTTGATGAATTTAGAATTAATTCCTAATTCTAAAATTGAATCACATAAGAAATGTGAGATTTGTATTGAAGCAAAAATGGCTAAGTTGCCTTTTCACTCGGTGGAAAGGTGTACTGAACCATTAGGCTTAATCCATACTGATGTATGTGATATGAAAAGTGTGCAAACAAGAACAGGTAAAAAGTATTTTATTACTTTTATCGATGATTGCACAAGGTTTTGCTACTTATATTTATTAAGAAGCAAAGACGAGGCTGTGGAAGCATTTAAAATCTATAAGACCGAAGTTGAAAATCAACTCGGCAAAAGGATTAAAATAATCCGAAGTGATAGGGGTGGGGAGTATGTAGCTCCTTTTGAACAAATATGTTCTGAATATGGCATAATTCATCAAACGACGGCCCCTTATTCTCCACAGTCGAACGGTGTTGCTGAACGCAAGAACCGTACGTTAAAAGAAATGATGAATGCCATGTTGTTAAATTCAGGATTACCACAGAACATGTGGGGGGAAGCTGTTTTAACAGCAAATCATATCTTGAATAAAATACCACCTAAAGGGAAAGATGAGACTCCTTACGAAATATGGAAAAATCGTAAGCCGTCTTATAAATACCTGAAAGTGTGGGGGTGTTTGGCTAAGGTTTCAGTACCGGAACCCAAACAAATGAGAATCGGGCCAAAGACGGTAGATTGTGTATTTATTGGATATGCGTACAATAGTACAGCATATAGATTTCTGGTTTATAAATCAGAAAATCCAGAGGTATCTGTTGGTACCACGATTGAGTCGAGGAATGCTATATTCTTCGAGAATATTTTTCCTCTGAAGGAAAGAGCAGAATATAGTTCTAATAAACGAACATATGAAACTGCTAGTGGTTCTGTACCAGAGGGTACTGCTGAAGAACCGAGACGTAGTAAAAGGGTAAAAACGGCGAAAACGTTTGGACCTGATTTTATTACGTACATGTTGGACGATGAACCGAGTTCTCTTAAGGAAGCTTTGTCCAGCCCAGATGGACCACTCTGGGAAGAAGTTGTAAATAGCGAAATCGAGTCCATTATGCAGAACCATACTTGGGAGTTGGTTGATCTCCCTGATGGTTGTAAACCTTTAGGATGCAAGTGGATTCTAAAGAAGAAATATAAAGCTGATGGATCGATTGATAAGTTTAAAGCACGATTGGTAGTCAAAGGCTTTAAACAAAAGGAAGGGTATGATTTCTTTGATACCTATTCACCAGTTACGCGTTTAGCGTCGATAAGAGTGCTTCTCTCGATTGCTGCTTTGCACAATCTTGAGATTCACCAAATGGATGTCAAGACGGCATTTTTAAATGGTGAATTGGAAGAAGAAATATACATGGAACAACCTGAAGGGTTTGTTGCACCTGGACAAGAGAGAAAGGTGTGTAGATTGATCAAATCCTTGTACGGACTGAAACAAGCTCCGAAACAATGGCATTTGAAATTTGATGACGTGATGTTATCAAATGAGTTCAAAATCAACGAATGTGACAAATGTGTTTATGTCAAGAGTACATCAAATGCATTTGTGATTGTATGTCTATATGTAGACGATATGTTGATCATGGGGAGTAGCCATGAAGTAATTATGGATACGAAAAGAATGTTGAAAAGAAATTTCGACATGAAAGATATGGGTTTGGCTGATGTTATTCTTGGAATAAGGATTATCAGAACCCAAGATGGAATTGTCTTGTCACAATCTCATTATGTAGAGAAAGTGCTCAAGAAATTTGATACCTATGACGGTGCACAGTCTAGGTGTAAGACACCCATTGATCTCAGTATAAATTTGGTAGCCAATAAAGGTCAACCAGTGGCTCAGTTGGAATATTCACGGATAATAGGAAGTCTGATGTACTTGACGAATTGTACACGACCAGACTTGGCCTACCCGGTGAATAAGTTGAGTAGATTTACTAGCAATCCCAGTCATGAACACTGGAATGCTTTGAGAAGGGTACTTAAGTACTTAAGGTACACTCTTGAATACGGGCTAAAATACTCGAGATACCCAGCCGTACTTGAAGGGTACTGTGATGCAAGCTGGATATCAGATTCGAGAGATTCTCGCTCCACTAGCGGATACGTTTTCTGTATTGGAGGAGGTGCAGTTTCGTGGAAATCCACAAAACAAACGTGTATAGCTCGGTCAACGATGGAATCGGAGTTCATAGCTTTAGATAAAGCTGGGGAAGAAGCCGAGTGGCTTAGAAACTTTTTATCCGATATTCCATGTTGGGATAAGACTTTGCCGCCTGTGATGATTCACTGTGACAGCCAAGCTGCTATAGGAAGGGCACAAAGCAACTTGTATAACGGTAAGTCTAGACATATTCGTCGTAGACATAATACCGTACGACAATTGATCACCAATGGTGTTATTTCCATTGACTATGTGAAGTCTAAGGAAAATTTGGCTGATCCTTTGACGAAAGGATTGAATAGAGATCAATTAGTAGTTTTGCTAGAGGGAATGGGTTTAAAAATCCACAATGTAAAGAATGATCATAGTGGTAACCCTACCATGCTAAGTGGAGATCCCACGAACTTGGTTCAAAGGGAAAACTAAGCTATGTAAATTCAGTTGAGCGCTTGGAACATATGAATGTCTTAAGATATTCCCTAGAGAACTCCAAGTGCAAGATGACATGTTGATTGTGGTGAGGGTAAGTCATGTGGACTTTTAATGAATCCCTAACCTTGTAAAGGTAGAGTACTACAGGATACTCTTGATAGGGAGGTCACTATAAGTGTGAAGTGTGGGCCGCTTCAAATGTAAACACTTATGAATCCATTGTGTTGTCCATGGCCAAAACGGACACAACGATAGAACAGAATGGAGTTAAGACTGTATTGTGTGAATATTATTGTCTCGGTGTACACTACGGAGGAATAGTTCAAGGCATCATGTCCACTAGTCCGCCAGTGCATCCAATGATGTTTACTATGAGAGGTTCAAAGCCCAAAGCTACCTTTTCTGATGCAATAGAGTTTGTGAGGATTGAGCACAATATTATATATATTTAATTTACACTCATGTGGGGGATTGTAATAATGAGTGTTAAATTAAGTTTATAACTATTATTCTTACAACAACTTGATTCTTATTCCTCCTACTTAATATAATACAACTCAATTTGTGATGAAAGTCCACTTTGCCAACTAATGTCCAACCAATTCATCAACCACTTCAATTGTGATGTGTGGGGAGGTCAACCATTGAATTAATTGTGGTAATGGATTCATCTATAAATAGATGGAATTGCACTCGGCAGAAAAGTACACAAAAGAGAAAGAAGAGAGAAAAAGAGAAGGAAAGAAAAAGTGGAAAGAAGAAAGAGAAAAAGAGAAAAAGAAAAAAAAAATAGAGAGATAAAAATAAAAATATTTATTTGTTATCAAAATAACAAAAGAGTGATATTTTTATTCCTATTTTTAAGTGCTCAATCTCGACTCCGTTCTTGTTCGCCGGAGCTCTTAAATCTGGTGTGCTACAGATTTAGAGACGTTTGCCGTTGTATCTTTGGGGAAGTTACGCCTGAACCGTTAGCTGCCACACGGGGCGTATTCTTCTTGCGGAAAGAGTTTTACTCGCCTCGGCTAAAATCTTTCCGTTTTAATTTTTAATTTATTTTTCGGTTGTAATTTATTTTTCAGTTTGATTGTAATTTTCTATTTTTTTTTTTAGATTATTTGTAAGAACTGAAAAATACATATCAGTTCGTAGGATTCCCGTGTAATTTTTATACCCGAGTGATAACAGGCCAGCCTCACATCCACCTCCTCGACCCGCGCCAACCATCGCTGCAGTGCCTCCTCTGCTTTCCCACCAACACCAGCGAGTGCCTCCTCGATGTAGACGTCGACGTGCTCGCCCCTGGCGGTCGATCTACACCTTGTACGGCAGCGTTGTGCCACAGTACAAATTTCAGTCCATTTATGTTCAATTTAGTCCGGCTCTCCAAATTGTGGTTAGACCCTTTTTATTTTTTCATCATTCGTAGGTTTTTTAGTTCTATATATGAAAATTCGGAGGTGGGTTGTAAAGTCTCCGAGAAAACCGTGATTGAGATTGTGTGTAGTTCTTTCTTCAGCATTTCTCCCTTTTCAGATTCTTCTCCTGCGGGACAGGAAAAGACGGGGATTATTTTTGGTTGAATGGAATGAAAGTGAAGGCGCAATGCTGAAGGTCCAGATCACGGTCCAGGTCCAGAACACGTTTGAGGTCTTGGTCTAGACCAAGGGATAGATCTTGGTCTAGGTATGGGTCAAGAGGTCGTGGTGGCAGGTAAGTATATAAGCTAATTCTTCATATTATGCTGACTGGAAAATATTCATCTTTTTATCGAACATAACACTGAAACTTCTCCTTGAATTCAGTTATTCTGAAGTCAAACTTCATTTTCAAATGATGTCAGCTGATAATTTTTGTTAACCTAGGCTGGAGATGCAGTAAAGAAAATTATAAGACAAGGAGAAGAGTGAATATCTCTCTCTCCATATCAAGCACTTGGGTTCTTACTATGAGTTTGAAATTTAGTGATTTCACGCGACGGTGCGTGTATGTAATATATATTATACGACTTTCTGGCCAATACCTTTGGTCTATTGACGGATGCTGGGAAGATTGCGTTATTGTTGTCCTTTCTACCTCCTTAGAACTCTGTTCAAAAAAAACTTTTTGACACCATGTCATTTATTATTGCACGTTAGACTTCATATGAATTTTCTTTAAACCTCATTTATTATTGCACGTTAGACTTGATATGAATTTATCTTTAAACCTTTTGTTCTCTTGTCGACAAGCAGAAGGTGGCTGGTTTTGTGTGCCTTCCACATGGTTTTAGAAAGGTAAAAATATTTTTAAGTAAAGTTGCAAAATTGCATTTGGTGTTCAGTAAACCTTGCCAGTAAATATCTGATAACTTTGAATTGTTATCAGACACATCGAGTAGCTGTCTTTGCGGAAGGAGTTGCTGCAGATGAGGCTCGAGTAGATGGAGCTGATATTGTTAGCGGCCAAGAGCTGGTGGTAGGCAGGTCATTTTAGTGGATAAATTAAACAATACAAAGGATATAAAATTGTATTGAAAACTTGAATGTTTGTAGTTGAAGTCACAATTTTAGTGTAACATGTTATGACACTTATACGATATACAATGCAGGGATTTCAAATGAGGATTGCTCTTCCTCAAGAATGTGCAATGCTCATTAACTATCCACAAAACAGAGTAATCAAAATTTGGTAAAAAAAATAGTGCTTCATTTTGCTTCTTACACTTTTACTACTGCTTTTACCCACTATTGTATTTTATTTTTTATTTTTTTAAACTTTTATGCTTTATTTAGTTTACTGTTGCTTTGTTATGGTGGTCATTTGTGTTGGTTATGTGGGTTCCACTCTAGCATTTAAAATGCTAAATATTCGTACTTCAATATGATTATATTGAATATCATGGCTTTAACATAAAACTAGGTCACTATGAAATATGTGTAACAATTTTCTCCAAACAGTACAGTACATTTGAAAGAAGAAGTTAGGTACGTGATGTATTTTGGTCCTACTTCTATTTGTGTTGCTTGGTGGGAACATTTATTTTTCAGTATATGGTATTATTGAAATAGGAGATCGAGAATGCTGCTGGCTGTTGGAAATTTTAATGTAATCATATGAATCAGCCAGTTTACGCATCACATGATTTTTCTTTACATGGATTGGGCAACTGATGTGATTGATTGTTCAAAATAGATACACTGCTGGGAATGGGATTTGCATCATTGGCGCCCATACTGACAGTCCCTGTTTGGAGCTGAAAGTTTAAGCCCATTACAAAGGCGATTAATCTACCTGTAACATGGTCTACATTAATCTAACCATTCATGATATTCATTACTTGTTCCCTCTTATTAGGAAGCCAGTGTCACTGACTCATCGCCTCATTTTGTTGTCTGTTAGAACCTAGAACATACACATACACTTAACTGGAGATGTTAAATATTGATTTCAAATCTATTGCTCGCTGCTTTGAGGTGATATTGGGCCAATATAACTATCCTTGCTCATAACTAGGTATATCATATATTTCAAGAATGTTCAGTATTGCCTTTCTCTATGTGATTCTGTTTCTTTACTAAATGCCACTTTACTATCAGGCCTCTCGCAGACTACAATGAGATTGTAAACCACTCTGCTGAGTGTATTTACGTCCGCTACTACAATACCAAAATACGGGTTTGATCAAATCAGCCTGATTGGAATATGACAAGTTTTGGCATTAAGTTTTGGTTCATATTAGTTAAGACTTTGTTTATTCATTTTGTCCACTTTGCAGAAGTTGCACGATGCTTACCAAGTTCCAGTTCATATACCAAATTCGGCAGTTGGCACCACTTCCAAAGGTTACCAACCTACCCCTTCTAATCATGTAAGTCTAGACTGCTATTTTGGACTGAAACTCAATGCCTACCAATCAAATATATTCTCGGTGGTATTATTCTTGATTTTTAGTTTCCAGTTCAATATAATTTGGATGGAGTCAAGGGCCTTGAAAGCAATCTTGGACTATTTACAGATTCCTTCATCCCTAGAAGTTAAAGAAGCACTCACCCATCTGCATATATGCCTTTGCATACCGAAAGGTTTTGGTTAAACTAATTTGTATGTCTACATATTACTGATGTCAAATTTATAGAAGATTAATCGTTTCAATCATTGTGCACTATTCTACTTTGGATAATAGTAAGTTACTGTTAGGCATTTTCACCATATATTAATTATATATGAAAAATCTCCTCACATTGTTTAGAAATTACAACGTAAAGTGACTCCTAAAGAGGTGACAAATGTTGCTATGTTGATGTACACATTACTCAAAAAAGGGGTGTAGGAACTCATCAACAATCATTCTAAGTAGCTGATCAATATGGGAGCTGTTGGAGATTGTATACTAACATAAAGTATTTCCTTTCAAAATAAATTAGGTACTGAACTGTGTCCGACAGTACCTACATTTAACTCATGCCAACTTTTCACTTTATCATCGACTAGATTTGGGCCAGCTTTAAACAACCATATTTTTGAGGTGGCAAAATCAATTTTTTTACGCAAAAAAGAACAATAAATTATTGATTAAATTTGGGCCGGCTGTGCGTGCACAACCGAGAGTCCACTAGTTTTCTCTATAAAATAAACACAATATGATGGACGTTTTCTGTCTTAGAATCAGCACACCGTATACAACAACAACAACAACAACAACATAGTCTTTAGTCCCAAGAAAGTCGGGGTAGGCTAGAGATGAAACCCAAGAGGCTTTAAGATCTGGTCCTATATTGCAAAGGCAACACAAATTCGGAATAGGAATATATATACATATAAAGGATTTCTTCCATTTTTGATTCACTTGGGTTTTATGTTTTTCACATGGGCTTTTCATCATGGATCCATCTTACAAAGAGATACATAATATAGTGGTCCAAGAAAACTAACAAACACGTAAAATTGCATGGCTTTTATAAAATAACTAAAATAAAATAAATAAATAACAAGAGAAGATATTGTAACATGATTACATGAAATAATTAATTTTGATTCATAACCTCCTACGTCTTCAAGTTGTAACAGTTAATTACATGGGCTTGTATATCCAATATTAAGGGAATCACCATGGTACTAGTTTTAAATCTGTTTAGACTTGAACCAATGCTCATTCATGCCCTTGAAGAACTGTATTCTTTTTCCAAAATCCAAATTCAGTTGAGACTTGAAAGTGTAAAAAGAAAAATGATAAAATGAGAAAAATCTATTTACATAACAAGTAATTTGGCTTTGGATTAATATGTTTCAAATTTTAAAATGATAAATAACCACCATGCTAAGTACAGTACTCAATAATTTGGTCATGTGCCACAATTGGGCCTGTTATGAAGCTGGACTAGTAAAATTAGGAAGGCCGATTAGTATTTTAGACTATAAACATGGCAGCAAACTCCGTTAGGCCCATTCAAGATGAGCTGGGCCTACAGTTTCATATACTCACAGAAATAAAGACACGGGTAAAATTCTTAACTGCCTATCAATAAAAAAAATCATTCCATAAAAGAGACACCTCATTATAATTCCACAAATACATAATTTTGTAACTGCTATATATTTGAATTAATAACAGAAGTTAACAAAAAAACAATCACTCTTTTTTTTTTTATCTCTCTCTTCCTTCTCTCTTTCTTCTCCCACGTTTTCTCTCTCTCTTCCTTCTTCTTCTTCTTCTTCTTCTTCTTCTTCTTGAATGCCTAAAAAAAATCAAAAAAATAAAAAATAAATAACAGTTGCTTATATACACATATAACAATTAAATTAACTAAAAAACAACACAAACATATATTATAAAAAAAACCAAACAACAACATAAGTTCTTTAAAGCAACATAAAAACAACTACATGTAAACAATAAAATATCATAATTCATAAATTACTTTATTTTAACAAATTGCATAATTAATAATTATGCATTTTTCCTCCACTATCTCAACATCATTTTCTCTGGATGTCTATCTTCTTCACGCAAAAAAAAAATTGTCAAACTCTTAGAAATTTAGAATCAGCAACCTATTTCTACCTATATCCTACAAAAATTCTGCATAAACACAACAATATCATCAATCAGAAAAGCAAATCACAACATGGAGGTGGTTACGTGGAGACAATTACAGATACGAACAAAATGATTATACGACCTACCTCGGTATTTCATGATTTACACGGCCTATCTCTTTTCGGCCTTGATAATGGTTTTCAAGGCCTCGTTCAGTATTGCCTGCGAAACGTCTCTTTTCGGTACTAGCGAATCGTCTATTTTCGGCATTGATGATGGGCCGCCAATGTCGGGAATAGACAATTGGAGACCGGTTACTCCGCCGGCAGTAGGGATAAATACGAAGAAAGTGAGTAAAAAGGCTCAACTATGGATTTTCAGTTGATGGTTGTAGACAGCGATTGGTTGTGTTTGTCGTCGGTTGCGACTTAATTTCTTCATCATCTCCAGATCTATGGCTCGATAGCTTCCGAAGCGTGCGAGTCAGCCATTTAGGCTCAGCACGTTTTCAAATTATATTAAGGAGGGATTATATGAAGAACAAGAATAAGTAAAACTATTATTTTCTAATAAATATATATACTAAAACCAAATTTATATTATTATAAATGTTTTAGAGAGATAATATCCCCTCTTAATATAATTTGAAAACGTGTTGAGCCTAAATGGCTGCTTCGCACGCTTCGGAAGCTTACTTGGCAACATTACATGCTTCGCCTTTTGGTTCGGATACATAAAATTTAGTTTTATATATTATTTTATTTATATAATTAATGTAAACAATAACTTTTTTTATATAGTTTAACTTAAAAAAATACTATAATTTTACAAAAAATATATAGTCACTTGCATATTATATCTTTTCAATCCAACCACAAATAAATTATTTAATTCTTTTTAGAATATCTATAATTATACATTGAAATAATTATAGAATATTATATGATCTTTCTAATATATTTTAAAGAGTTGAAATAGTTATACAACAACATATGTGTTTTTTTTATTATTTTATATTTTATATTTTTTTTCAAACAACCCATGTAGTATACGAATGTCGTACTAGTAATTATTACACGCTATCTTTAACATGCTCATATTCAGTGTTTTGCCTAAAAAAACAGCGCCTCATCTAAAATGGGTGAAAAATATCTATATTTATATCTATATAAAAAGGTTGATGTAAAAATCATTTTTAGAAACCTAAAATAATTGAGTTGACTTTTGACTTTCTATTTATGTATTCTCAATCAAATTATAAAAAAAAATCGTGATAAGGATGAACAAATTGATATTCCCGTTAATTAAGCATGGGATAATCCCATTAATTAAGCAAATGAAAGATGAAATGGATTGTTCCGTTAATTAAGCATTGTATATTCCCGTTTTTTAAGCAATGGAATCTGATAATCAATTGTAACCATTGATATGAAATCTGTTTTTATGAAATCAATTGTGAGGATTTTTATGAAATCTATTCCATATTTTGTTCCATATTCCATTTAACAATCCTTATTTTACGTGAAACTAAATGTGTTGTTTCCTTATTTCACGTATGGATAGCAATGGAAGAGTTTTTGTTTCCTTAAATTGCGGATTATTTCTCTCCAAAGCTCTCATTTCCGAATTCTCACTGTCACCATACATTAAAGGAGCAGCAGTTCCAGCAATCAAACCCCACCTCTCCTCCTATGACGGTCATGGCGATAGCATAGTCGAACGGCACGTTGTCTAGCCTGAGCGAGAAGAGAAGCGAGCGGGAGGAGAACGACGACAACAGGGCGTTCAGCTCGCTGGAGATCGTCGACAGCGGTGGCGACGGGGCAGATGGTGGCACTAAAGAAGAGGCGACTGAAGATGGACAAGGAGGGCGTGCCCCTGACGGCTCTGCGCGAGGTGTCCCTTCGATGCTCTCTCAGCCCCTCCACGTCTTCGTTTCTTTTGGATCCTGCGGCTTCTATGGATTTGGTATCTTTGTACTAAGTTTCTTGTGGCACTTCATTTTCATGTGTTTGTCAGGTAGATTTCATCTCTTTTTGTTCAGATCGTTTTGAAATTTGCAATATTTATCGGTTAGAGTNATTGGTTGATTGAGTTTTAATGGCGCAGATAATGGGTTGATAATCAGCATCACTTAGGATGAGAAGCAGGAAAGATTAATGTTTTCATTTTTCAACATTTATTTGGGTTGCTATTGAAGTTTTGTGATTTTATATTTTACTAATTTTAGGGGGTTTAGTTTGTTTTGTTTATTTACAAATTGAATAGAATTATTTACAAATTACTGATGTTAAAGTTATTTCACAAGGCTGATTCTCGAGAATATTATTTACAATATTATTTACAAATCTGTTCTCGAGATGTTTGCCCATCTGAATTTGAGACTACAGTTGAGAAGAACATTGATGAACTGGAAGCTGAGGAAGGTGAAGCATTTAGAGTTGAGAATGTTGAAAGTGTTGAAAGTGAAGATAATATTGTAGTTGATGACTCCCGCTGTGACAATGTTGGTTTTCAAAACAAGGATGATGAAAAATTTGAGAATGACACAACAATAGGAGGTTTTGAAGATGTCCAAGATTTAAATGCGACCTTGGACAAACTTACAGTGCTCACATTGAAGCGAGCTACAGAGGAATCTATTTCAAACTTCACTGACCATTTGGATACTCCAGTGCAACTCAAAGAAGACGAGCATAACGTGGTAGAAGTTGTTCAGCTCGAAACGGAAAATGCTGCTTATATAATTGCTGATTCTAATTTTATTGACCATTCGGGTGCTTAATTATACAGATAAGTAGATAATAATTATTGTAAAAGAATGAAAAAATAATTTAAACAAAAAGAGTAAAAGAATTTAATTATTGTAAATATATACAAAATCAAGTCCAAAAATGCTTACTTGTGAATTAAGATATTTTTTTTTTATCTAAATAGAAAGCTTAATTATACAGATAAGTAGATAATAATTATTATCTAAATCTTTTTGTTTTTTAATTTAATAATAATTAAGTGATTAATAAATCTGGGGAAGGGGAAGAGATTTTGTTCCAATTGTAGACTTTATTAAAATTCGGAAATTTTTCGTCTCGAGCCTCGAAAGCAATATCCTCAGTATGGCCGGTTTCAGAGATATCACTTTCTCGATCATCTTCTCTTCTCAGTATATATGATTCAAAGGATGACCTAAGTATATATGGTTCAGAGGATGAAGATGAAGAGTTAAAAGGAGAGGACGAACGAGAAGAAGAAGAGGAGGACGAAGAAATTGGCTGCTTCCGAAATAAAAAAATTATACATGTTTATTAGCTTTTAATGAACTCAGATATAAATATTCATTTACATTATTATGTTGACTATAAAATAATATATAAATTCATCCTATTTTATAAAGGTGTCTTCAATACATATCAATAGTATGCATTCAACTTCAAATCGTCTAATTTTGAATGAATTAAATTATGATCGAAAGAGTCTCGCTGCTGAACACTATATGTTTCTTAAGAAAATGACTAAGGAATAGAAAGGAGTATTACCTGGCTCAATTTTAATTTACGTGGGGAGAGCTAACAGGCTCAATTTTAATGTCTCGACTAAAAAATGACACTGATGAAAAGAGGTGGAAAATAGATTATCCAACTCTATTATTTTTTAGGCCTTAACGATCAAGCTCTATGGAAATGACTCATTTAATATCTCTGTCTCGTGCATCGCACGAGCTACTTAACGGATAAACGAAAAAATTGGATTATTTTATATTTTGACTTACTAATTGTGGAAATGCTATTGGAAATTTATATTTTGACTTACTAATTGTGAAAATGATATTGGAAATTTATATTTTGTGTTATAGAATGAATATATGTTATATCGAGAATATCTATAAACTTTATATTTAAAATAAATAGTAAAATAGATACAATCCGAATATCTAAACCATGAATATAGAATAGTTTCAAATATACATTGTGAAGATACGTGTTAATATAGGAAACTAACTAAATATATCTACTTATTAATCACGCCCTTAACATCTTTTGTTAAATCTATTTAAATCCGTCCTTTTGTTTTGTTAATCACGCCATTAACATCGGATATGGTTTGTTTATAATTTGGCATCAGATTTTCACGCAATTCATTTATCTTCACATGCCAAAATTGGGGAATTATTTGTGTCCATTCACGCGCAATTGCGTACAATATTTTTTGTTAATATCCATTCGCGCAATCAATACATATTTATCCTCAAATTTTTGATGCTAATATCCTACAAAAATTTTTCCCTATTTTTCGTTCCATTCAAGCGCAATTGCGTTTAATCTTTTTTGTTAGTATCCATTCACGCGCAATCATCCCATGTATTTATCCTCATATTTTTTTGGTTAATATACTACAAAAATTTTTCCTTAGTTTTAGTTAACCTAAACCACCAGATAAATACTGTATAAAAAGGTATTACTTCATGCTTTTTTTTTCATCTCCTTCCCACCGTGGTTCATAAAAATATAGAGATAAATTGCTGCAATACAGATATAAATAGCGCGGTTCTTTGATACCATCGATTCCGTCAATAGAATCAGCAAACCTTTTCTGCGGTTGAGAATAGTCCGAATTATTGAAACGCATCACGATCGGGAGCCATCGAGAAAGGTGTCCCCACTCGAATAATTGTTTTTCATTTGATTGACTTGGAGTAAGTATTTACTTTTTTTTATTCCATTAATATCATTTTAATATTTGTATGTATTCAATTGAGATTCTAAATTATTGTAGGGAGAACAAGTTGAGTTGCACTCTTTGGAACGATTATGTTGAAGAATTCCTTCAACATGAACGACAACATGCTGGGGTTGATGGTCGCCCATGGATAATGATAATGAACTTATGTAGAGCAAAACCCTATGGAGGTATATATTTTCTACTTAAATAATTATATATTGTCAAAATATTCTATTGTTTTTATTTAATCAATATTGTGAATGTAGGTCGTGTCCAACTGACAACATGCTCATCGTTGTCGCATGTTAGTTTATTTCTTAAGAAGCCTGTGTTCAGCCATGGACAGTTATACGTTGATGTATCCCGTGTCACCACCCGAAGTGGTTTGAAAATTTTAGTTTGTGGTAACGATGTCTCGACGCCAAATCAAACGAAAAACGTTTTAATAATTTATGAATTTTGTAGTTTGCGCCCAAGGTGTTTACTTTTGTTACAAATATAACAAGTTCACTAAATTTAATCATTAATATTTCTAAATGTTTAGAAATATACCATCCCGTACATCGCACGGCTAATTACTAGTATTTATAAACCCTAATGTTTTTTTAGATTAAAAATAACTTAGTAGTTACCTCTCAACTGTTGTGTAGTTAACTCCAACTGAGACGAGGGTTTAGAAGGGTTTTGAGTAGTGGCTGTAGAGGAGGAGAAAACCTACCCAGCGAGAAGCAACAAACAAGATTTTAATGGCCTTCTCTAGGCAAGCGAGTTAAATCCTTTGTGGAATTCATCTTTTTTCTTTCCTAATTGATTGGGATTTCACAAATTCTGTTCAATTTTTCTCATTTTCCTTTTCCTTTTTCGGCTGTGCTCGCAGTTACTGCACCATGGACGTATGCTGGAAATCGTCTGCGCCTCTGAATTTCGTACGAGTTAGCAGTACCAACGGAGCTGTTTGGCTTCACAGGCGTAGAAGCAAATTTACTGCGCCTCGCGCTTGTGCATCTTCATCTGGTATTTTTTTCGTTCCCACTAGTTAATCAAGATTCAAACATGATTTAGGAAGCATGTTCTTAGTAACTTATCCCTATCACTGTTGTTTATGCAATCGGCATTGTGCTTGTGATCTTTACCCGTACTGGCTTTCTTACTTCGTTTTCCTTTTCTTTCTGTGGCAATTTGAAAAAAAAAAATGTCACTTTTGTTCTTGTGTTTGCCAAAATGTCACCCTTGTCTTTCATGACCAAAACAAGGATCCTCAAACACTGATATTACGACTAATCTGGCATTGCCATTTTTGCATAGAGAAAGTGCAAAGGTGGAATTTTTTCACTAATTTCCCTTTCCTTTTCCGAATCTTTGGCCTTGGGGCTCATATCTTACGAAAAGAATAATGTTGGAATCAAGGAAACAATGGGTTTCCCTTGCTTTCATTATCAAGCCTTGTTTTCATTGATTTCTGACATTATAAAGTACCTTTCAATGAATTTCCCACAAATCAAACAGGTAATGCTTTCCCTTATTTTGTACTAGTTCTATTTCTTAGATGGTGTTCTGGGTTTTTCTATAAACTGCATTATTCTTAATCTATCGAGTTAAGACAACTCTGGCTTCAGTATCATCTTGTTTTATTAATTTTCTGAAGTAGTCATGGTAATGACTAATGACCTTTGATCTCTGTTAATTCCAATCAGGTCCTCTTTTGGTCAAAGCTGTGAGAGGGGAATCAGTTAACCGCCCTCGTGCATGGATGAAGGAGGTTCGAGGTCCCGTTATACAGTCCCCCATTCGTCCTGAGGAGGACTCGAAGACGTTGTACCCGATCGATTTGGATAAACTGCAGTTTGTTGGGGAGTCTCTTAGGATATTGCGGAAAGAGGTTAGTTTTAGTGTCTCGCCATTTTCATGACTTGCAATGAAAGATAAGTCTTGCTTGAACAACTTTTTTTTTTTTGAGTAATTGGTGATCTTAGTCTTTTTGGAATGATTTTAAAATGGCCCTTGATTTTGGTATATCTAGAAAACCACCCTTGAGGTTTTTTTATCCCTTTTATGTGTTTACTTTTTCCCCAGCCGTTACTTGATGTAAAATGGAATTTGTTGAAGTCATCACTCATCAAACATGTGAATTTGCCTCCTCAAGTTTTTAACATAATACGAATAGCCCAACTTTTCCCCAGCCTAGTTAACCCTTGCCTTTTAAATACTATCTGTGAAAAATGGATTTTTTAACCCATTTCCATTTACAGGTAGGAGAAGAGGCTGCAGTTTTGGGTTTTGTTGGATCTCCCTGGACAATTGCTACGCATATAGTCGAAGGTGGTACGACTCGGATATACACGACAATAAAGAGTATGTGTCATATGGCACCCAATTTGCTAAGGGTTCTTCTGTCTCATCTGACAAAGGCAATAGCTGAGTATGTCGTTTACCAAGTAGAGTCTGGGGTCCACTGCATACAAATTTTTGATTCGTGGGGGGGCCAATTGCCACCTGACATGTGGGACCAGTGGTCTACGCCTTATTTCAATGAGGTGATTACTTTTACTTTGCTTGTCTAAATCATTTTGCGTTCTTTCGAGCAACCTACATGAATCAATGACCCATCATCCGTTTATGAATGCAGATCGTAAGAATAGTTAAGCAGAAATGCCCTCAAACGCCACTTGTGCTATACATCAATGGAAATGGTTGGCTTCTTGAGGGGATGAAAGGAACGGGAGTTGATGTCATCGGGCTTGACTGGACAGTGGATATGGCTGATGGAAGGGCACGTCTTGGGAAAGATATCAGCATACAAGGAAATGTGGACCCCACATATCTATTCTCTCCTATTCTGGCCATAACAAATGAAATTAAAAGGTTAGTCAGATAAAACACTCGTGTCCTTTGGTCAAAATATTATGCTTTGTAATATGGCTTGGATAAAAAGTACTAATTTTTGATACCAAATAACTTAGGTTCAGATTACCATATATATACACATATTTAATATATTTAAATCATTCCATATAAAGCTATTTATTATCTTCTTTCTATATAATGTGCATAATCTTACTTTCTATATTTCATGGAAGCTGGATTCCCAATTCGGTACTCCTGGATCTCCTTCTCGTGGTCAAACTTCTTGCCCACTATGTCCTTGCTCGACCTGATGCGAACCTGCCTTATGTCTCATATGCCCTACATCTACTCGTTAGTAATTTTGGAAGGCAGATTGTGCACGTACATGACGCGGTTAACCTTTGGCCACATCTTCGTAAGATCACCGACTTGGCGTATGCGTATCTTGCCGTCAGTACTTCTATATTGAGCTATGTTGGGCTTCATGGCTTCGTTGCTGCTTTCAGTCCATGTCCTTTTACTTCCGTCGCAGTTGGTTATCTCATGGTACTATATTAATTTAAGTCAGTATGTTTATCTCCTAACTGATTTACTTTTTTATTTTTCATTTTCTGGTATTTTATTATTTATAAGTCAAATGTTTTCTTTTAGGCTCCTGGGACTAGAGGGTATGTGGCTGTTGGAGCAAACTGCTGTTGGCACGTTGTCTTGCAGCAACAACGTAGCATTTCCTTACAAACACAGGAAAATGATCCCAGCTTTAAAACGTTGGAGTCCAAGTTCAGTTACCACGGGATCTGGGACTCGTCAAACCCAAAGCTGAGTAACAACCAACGTCTCAAGTACAATAGAATGATGAAAATGACGGCAGAAAGGATCCTAACCATTTTGAAAAAGGGTGGTGTGGATACGAGTGAACTCGTAGATGTTTGGCCGGACGTAAACGTTTTGGGATGTCCATTCCTCAGACCCACAACTCTGCTTAAGAAGATGATCAAGCAGAGAAATGATAACTCATTCCCCCTGAAGAGCCAACATGGCTAAACTACAGCTACCAAGATCAGAAGAAGAAATAAACACACATAAACTAAAACAAGTCTTAAGATACAAAACATCCTCAAGTACAGACATACATGTCAATTCAGAGAGCCTCTCCACAGTCCCTTGATTTAAAGCTGCTAGCTAGGTTCAATCTTCCTCTTTTCAACCAATTTAGCCTCCTTCAAATTCACCATGTGGACAAATTTCAACTTACTTTCCTGTCCAAAGAAAAAAAAAACAAAAAAAACATTTGGTCATTAATAAAACACTAAAACTTTAGAATAACAAGTGAGAAAAAAACTTTTAAAATATAGTGATTAAGTGAACTACATGGAATACTGAAGTTGACACGTGGGACTCCACGGACGGATTTTAGTTTGAAGGATGGTCGGCTTTCAATTATCTTTAGGTTCGAATCCAACTGAATTTTTGCTTCAACCGCTATGATCCTCCCGTCTTGTAAGGATATCAGGTTAATGCTTCCGAGGTAAGATACTTCGATTATTAATCCATCACTCCTACGTACAAGAGTATCATCAATATGATCCGACTTGCTCAGCTGATAGTCGCGGCAATTCAGGAGGATACTACTTGGAATGCACAAATCTGACGAAAAAAATTTAAAAAAAGAAAAGTATATTAAAAAAAAAAAAAAACTAATCTTTAACATGTAAAATTGATTTAGTGTTAAAGATACTCACCGGGATGACGGATTTTGTTCTGGTAGAACTCAATGGCGAATAGGAAGAAGTTGCCCATGGTGATCTTGAAGCTAAATCAATTTTACATGTTAAAGATTAGTTTTTTTTTTTTTTTAATATACTTTTCTTTTTTTAAATTTTTTTCGTCAGATTTGTGCATTCCAAGTAGTACCCTCCTGAATTGCCGCGACTATCAGCTGAGCAAGTCGGATCATATTGATGATACTCTTGTACGTAGGAGTGATGGATTAGTAATCGGAGTATCTTACCTCGGAAGCATTAACCTGATATCCTTACAAGATGGGAGGATCATAGCGGTTGAAGCAAAAATTCAGTTGGATTCGAACTTAAAGATAATTGAAAGCCGACCATCCTTCAAACTAAAATCCGTCCGTGGAGTCCCACGTGTCAACTTCAGTATTCCATGTAGTTCACTTAATCACTATATTTTTTAAGTTTTTTTTCTCACTTGTTATTCTAAAGTTTTAGTGTTTTATTAATGACCAAATGTTTTTTTTGTTTTTTTTTTCTTTGGACAGGAAAGTAAGTTGAAATTTGTTCACATGGTGAATTTAAAGGAGGCTAAATTGGTTGAAAAGAGGAAGATTGAACCTAGCTAGCAGCTTTAAATCAAGGGACTGTGGAGAGGCTCTCTGAATTGGCATGTATGTCTGTACTTGAGGATGTTTTGTATCTTAAGACTTGTTTTAGTTTATGTGTGTTTATTTCTTCTTCTGATCTTGGTAGCTGTAGTTTAGCCATGTTGGCTCTTCAAGGGGAATGAGTTATCATTTCTCTGCTTGATCATCATCCTTACAGTTGTAAGTGTGGGTGTCTTGGGGTTCAGTTGAACAATGTTGTTTGTTTTGAAGTTTTAATATAGTGTTTGCGTTGAAAAAAAAAAAAAAGAACCTAGCTAGCAGAATTGTTCACTGCTTTGGTTATGCCCAATTAGATTTGGTCCTTTTGTTGTTTTGGTTTCTAGCCCACTTTTGTTATGTGGTTCTCAGGTGCTGGCAGCATTGAGCAGTTTGCTCTGGGTTGTACTCTTGTACAGTAGTTGATGATATAATATTGTCTATCGTTGTGAAAATAAAAAATAATAAACAAAATAAAATAAAAAATAAAATGGACCAACTGTATAAGTCAATCTTTCTTAATATCAATCAGTCAAAATAAGTTAATTGATCCTTTTACATTATTTTTCTTTGCCAAGTATCAATTACAAACGTTAATACACATATTGTATGCTTGGACAGATGGAATACTGAATACAATATACGGTATTCATCCTTTATTATTATTATTATTATTACCGTACTTTTTTAATGTGTGTACTTTATATGAAGTGTTTTATCATTTTATTTTCTAAAAGCCTAGTCTTGTTGATCTTCATCTTGTCCGTTCAAAGATGTCCATATGTTTTGTTATTTTTACTTAGGGTTCCTAGGTAAATGATATAATGAAGATATGTTCCAGTCAATAATAAAATGTTAAATCAAGGAAATCAAACGCAATATCTCAACCATTTTAAAATTTTTCTCTTCGTGAAAATTTCGGTCAAAGATAATCCAATTATTGGAACGTACAAAATACAATAATTAACAGATAAAATTTAGAATATCAAGTTTAATGTTTTATTAAGTGAAATTCACGTAATAAAGTGAAAAATAAAATTATAAATAAATTTAAGTTACTAAAAATGATTTTTTTGTTATGGAATAAATAAAGTGATTAAATTAACAAATAAAATAAATAGAGCGGAAAGAAAGATCAATAAAATCGGTGAAACAGCACGCCGACCACATTTTTGAGTCAACTTATCAAACTGTACACAAAAAGATTATAGATCCCATCACCTAAATTTCAACTCCAGTAATTTCTTATTTTATTCTCCTATAGCTATATCGAAATCGAAGGTAATATTATTATTATTATTATATTATCATATAAATTATATATTAAGATCATGATGCTATATCTCCAGTTTAAATAATTCACTTTAAGACGTGAGGACGTGTTTACTTTACATATATTTATTTTTATTACCATTGGTTGAACCCAATTTCTTTTTTTTTTTCTTTTTTTATTTTACTTTTATAGTATCAATAACAAATCTCATTCTCACCCAAGTTTTCATATTCAGCACTAGACATATTTTGAACTGATTTCCCAATATTAATTTTTATATATTACTCACTCTTATCATTTTTAATCCAAAAGATTGTAATGAATTACCCTTTTTTTTTTTAAGCTGTAATGAATTACTTGTGTGAGAAGGAAGGAACTCATCATAATATTATTATAATTATTTTTTTATTTGCTTTTATTCTCTTTCAAATTTCAACTAAATATATAAATTACAGCCTGGGATACTAAAATTAAATTAAGTCGACAAAACTAATTCATTATTTTTATTATCATTAATTTTGTGCTTAAAATTTATAAACATGAAAGGACAGAAATGCCACAAGAGGCATCATGATGTTCCTTTTTAGTCCTAAAGCAAATGCTAGTGCGGCCGAATTTCGAAAAGCAATGATAACATATAAAGACATGGAATTTTTTCGTTTGGTATTCAATTATAAATTAAAAAGATAGTCCTAAATTTTTATATCAAAATTCTTGGGATTATTAAGTATTTCTTAAGGTGTACTTAAAATACTGAATGTTGCAACATCGATGTCATAGGTATATGAGGTAAGTCTTTAGTCGATAACTTTATGCATTAGGCTCTTAATTAATACTCTCAATTTTAAAATAAATGTAAATAAAGGAATTGTCATAAAATATATTCTCCATTAAAATCTCTCTAAATTGTACGGTAAAGTACCTTTTATTATAGTAATTTTAAGAGAACTAAGATTTTAAGATAAATTAAACAGTACAAGAAAATTGTAAAATTCCAGCAGAAAATTCCAACATAAATACATTCAATAAAATTTTAACGGCAATTCCAATTCAATTATTTTCGTTAAAAAAAGTTACCGTTGGAGATGTTTTATAATTCTACAATTGACACCATTGGAGATGCTCTTATTTGGCCCTATTCTTAATTTTGATTAGTTTTTTCCCGCCTAAACTACACTATCAAATTTAGCGTGTCCATTTAATTTCTACTTACTAAGATTTGTAACGGCGTATTTAACCAAATTTTCTTTTTAACTCTTGGGTGCGCGCTCTGAGTCTTAACAAAATAATAATTTACATTTGATAATATTATCAAAATTGCAAGAGTATATTATTTACAAAAATATTTTTCCATGATATTTAATACATTTTAATGTATAATATATTGAATTAGTCGTGTTTATATGATACTAGTACGATACTCGTGTACTACATGAACATTTGATAAAATATTAAACATATAACAAAAATAAAAATATGTTTACATATTTTGTTGAAATTGGAAAAAAAAGGAACAATATATAACACTTGATAATAAAGGTTATGAAAGGGAAAAGAAGAGCAGTCTGCGTTCTACATCCTATGAGCTCCAATTTCTCTTGCTTTCAGAAGCAAAGAGGGTAAACTATATCAAAATCGTTATTCTTATAACCATCAATTACACCGAAACTCCCCAACTCGGTGGTCCTTAAATCGTAAAACAGAATCTCACCTTTAAAGGTAAGAAGAATCACTTTCTCATTATTGTAGATTCCCACCACCCGGTCAACAAGAACATCCATCGGAACATGGAATGTGGACAAGTGAGACCAGCTCCGGTCCGCATTGCTCCACACCCAAATCATAAACCACAAAGAATTTCTACGAAACTTCTCCTCATCGGCAAAAATAGCGGCAAGCGACCCGTGATACTCTGCAAGAGCCAACATTAGGTACCAGATGTACCTAAGCTTGTCCGGGTCCGGCAAGCGAATGACACCTGTGAACTCTCCGCGGCCGAAATCAAACTGAACAATTTCAGCACGGTACGTGGGCCAATAGTAAACGCCATTTATGTGAATGCGGTACGGGCTTTCTCGCCTGATATCATCGGGGTCGTGGCCGAAATGGATTTCCCTCCACAAACCGGTGCCGACCGACAGCAGTTCCCCTCTCATCTCAGGGGGATCAACATCACCGTGATCCTGAAGATGGGATGGAACATAGTGAAACGTAGGTAATTTGTAACGAGTGCGCTCAACGTTGTTAGAACACAAATATACAACTAGAATAGCGGAAGCGATAAACCGAAGATTTAAAAACTCTTCAGGGAAGCGTCCCACTTCCCCTCAGAGCTCTTTCATTGATAAATCGTTTGTGCACACTTGTATAGTTTGGACTTACACGACTCGAACTCCCTTCTAGCCTAGCCACAACTACACACGATTCTATCAACTACTTCTCCGACCACGTCCCGTGGATTTTACCTCTCGAATCCCTCGAGCTAAAGACAGTACTTAATCCCTAAGCACTGATCACACAAGTGTTTGAATGAAAAACAAAGAAAAGAAAACAAAACAGACTTCAGTTCTTCGATGACGTAAGAACACCGAAAACTGACCAACGAAAATAAAACACAAAAAGCTTGCAGCTCGAATATGGAATAGAATATAATGCTCTCAGCTCTCCAAATTCGATCTTCAAGCAGGTATATATATAATCTCCTTAGGGTGGAGTGTTCTCCAAGTACAAGACTCCTTTTGATTTCCTTCCAAGTTTAGGACTCTTCTTTCTCTCACTTCAAACAATCCTTCTTTAATCCAATTTCCTTCCATGTAAATCATAAGAGATATGGTAGGTGTAGATCTCTATCTTCTCTTTCCAAGGATCTTTCCTTCTTATGTGGTTTCCTACAAAATATATCCATAATAAGATCATGCAAATCTAATATATATATATATATATATATATATAAATCGAATATATAAATATAAATATAAATAAATTCGAATATATAAATATAAATATAAATAAAAGAACTTCCCTTTTTATTTATCATGCTTGCAAGAATATATCTTCACTTATATTAATTTTTGAACTTTATTGCCAAAAATATAACTCTTTCAATCTCCCCCTTTGGCATCTAGTTCGAAAATCATATAATGAAGATAACCTGAAACACAGTTTAGAACAGCAAGCACGAATATGTAGAATAATATCATAAGGAACAAATCACTGCAGTAAGAATATCGCAAATAGTGACTGAGTAAGAACACAGTCCATAAAGTACCTGCAGTCACAACTCATTAGACGCACATAGCATAAAACAATCAGAGCAAACATCCTACCAATCACAGCAAGTATTAACAGCAGCCACACAAAAGAAAAGTCTCTCAGCATCATCCTTGACCATCTTTACCTCTCTCCCCCTTTTTCGAACTACGGGATGCCGAAGGGCCTGTACCCGTGTTCTTTTTCAACCGTCCTCAATGTGAAGAAACAACGATGGTAATTCCTATCAAAGCAACTAAGAGGACTATAATCAGAGCAATCAGAACACATCAAGCTATCAGAACCTGAGCAATATAGAGTGACCAATTCATCTCCCCCTGTCAGAATAGTCAAAACAATCAAACAGCAAGACATAGACGTTCTTAA